ATCTTGGACACTTACTAACTGTGTTATCCTGAGCAAGTCACATAACCCTGCTTGTCTCAGTTTCCTCATCTATAAAATGAGCTGGAGAAGGAAATGGCAAACTATGCCAGTACTTCTGCCAAGAAAACCCCAAATGGGGTCTCAAAGCATCAGACATGATTGAAACAACTGAACAACAACAACATTAGAAAAATAAATATCTTTTCCAGAGTCTCTTATATGAAATTACAGGTCTGGTCAAACAAAATTTTTAAAAAAATGCATCTTACAGTAGTTTGGCCAAGGCAAGTATAGGAGAATCAAGATAATATAAATCACTTCGATTCCTAATTTTATCCAGGAATCCTACAGGATAGATTCAGCAACAATGCTTTGCCCCTCCAGTAATTTTTTGGAGGGGGGAGGTATAGGGGAGATAACAGAGCTGTAATTTCATTGGCATAGGGAACTCCCTACAAGGGAAAAGATTCCACCAATGCAGATTAGTATCTTCTCTCTAACCCTTAGGCTGAGAGAGATTCTAGAGTCTCTAAAAGGTTAAGTGACCTTCCCCAAATCACACAGCTATTGTATTTCAGAAGCGTACTTGTACCTAGATCTTCTTGATTCTAAGGTTGACCAATCATTACATTGAGGTGCTTCTTCAATGAAAATTAGGGATGATGACTGGACCTGAGATTTCACTGATATATATAGGATTTCCCATGATGAAACTCCCTCCAGCTGGCACCTTTTCAACAACTTAGAGATTTAGAGCATCAGTTCTTAACTGTTTGGGAGTCATGGATCCCTTTGCTAGCTTAGTGAAGCCTTTGGATACCTTCTCAGAACAACATTTTAAATGCATAAAATTGGGTCATAACAAATAAATTTCATATTGAAATGCAGCTATCAAAATATTATTTAAAACAAGTTCATGAATTTAGAGGTAATGCTTAAAGCTTCCTAGAGCACAGAGAGGTTAAATTATATTTGGCCGGGTCTCATAGCCAGTAGTATGTGTCAGAGGTGGGGGTGAATTTGATGTTAAGGCTAGCTCTCTATTCCCTATCCCTTATTCCATATTGCTTCTTTTATTTTTAGCATGTTACCTTTAGTAGATATGAAAATTAGGTCTACAAAATTATGTGGCCACATTTTAATAGTAAACAATAATCAACAATACAGTACAAATTTCCTTTTGGTAATACCCTGGCTTATGCCAGCTTTTTTTTTTTGTTTTCATGTTTGCAGCTAAGATAATTAATATTTCTTCATGTGTACAGGAGTTTATGTCATCAGTTTTACCAGCTCTTTGACATCAACCAATTGATGGCTAATAGCTTGTGGTTGAAAATAATTTTTTTCTTGGAATGGCATGCCATAATAATGACATCCAAGCTATTCAGAGAAATCACAAACAGGTGCAGCCAGTGGCAGTTTCCGTGTGCGTAGTTGATGAGACATTTCCTCGTCACTGTTCCCAGTGTGCAGGGCACTCTAGAAAACACAACTCATGTGAAATTCAGATTGTCAGCGTGAAAAGAAAGTTGGCAGAACACAGGGATCTGTTGCTTAGCAATCCATTGCAATGAAACACATGCCCATCGTGGCACTGATGATACCATGGGGAGAGGAAAGATTTTCAACTGGATGGAAATCCTTGATTTCAGAAGTATGTGGGTATGGGAAAAAAGGAGGAGCGAAGGGGATGAAGAAGTCCTGATTCTGGGGGCTGCTGGGCTCTTTTGCTTAGGGAGCAAATGTATGGCTGCTTTAGTCTATATTACATGAGATCATTGTAACTGGAAAGAGAGACTCTAAAATCAATAAATATGGGAAAACTGCTATTCAATAATCACAGTAATGTGCACACGTTGATTAGGATCTGGATTTCCCTACCTGGTTGGGCTTCTACTTACCCTTTGAAATTGGGAGAGGGCTGACTCATATTAGCCTTAGTTTATCACGGTGTAAAATAGGTATTATAAATGATTGCAGACACATGTAGGTAACATTTGTATGGACTGAAAAGAGTCACAACAATTGAACGGATTTTAATGTCTTTCTATCTGTTAGAGAGAGAATAAGATAGGAGATAGAGACTGGACCTATGATAATATTGGTATAGGGAACTCCCAGATGAGGAATCTCTTATTAAAAATGCATGTCAGCACATTCTCTGTAGTTTATTTTCTTAAAGAGCTGCCCAGATCACTGAGATGTAAAGTGACTTGCTCTTGTTAGAATAGCTAGTAGATCTTCAAGGTGAAACTTAAGCTTAGGTCTTCCTACTTCCAAGCCCAGTTCTGTATTGACTATGTCTCACTCGAGGAGAGTAGACTGATAATTTGGTGGTAATTACTTTAAAGAATTTCACATCTCAAAGAGCCTTTAAAGATCAACTACCTCATTTTACAGATGTGGAAAACTGATGAACAGAGAGAATTAAGTGATTTGCCAGTGGTAATAGAGCAGTACAGGGGATAGAATTTTGGGCATAGAATTAGGAAGTCTTAGGTTCAATCCCTTCAGCCTTCTAAGTTTTAATTTGTTGGCTATATTTTCTCAGATATATCAACTTTCATCTAATTATTCATAATTGGAGGAGTAGCATGATGGTTGATTAAGAGTCCTGAGACTCTAATTTTGGCATTCAGAATATAGAATATTGATGGAAAGAGCCTGTAGAATATTATGCTGGTACTCAGATATTCACATGAATATGCCACTTAAAGAGCTCAATAATTAATCAATACATCCTACATCCACATCAAGGCTCATATCAGCAGAGAGGTCAGCATATGTATATAATATACTGATTTAATATGACAATTTATTTTAGCCCCCAGAATTAACATCGCTAAAGCTGTATTGTTAAATAATGGAAGTTAGATTAACAACAGCGTGAAAGATTAGCATCTTTTATATAGCTATAATGAAATCTGTGACTCTGATCCACCTAGATTCTTTGTTGCTCGAGGTGAGCTGGTCTTTTCATCAGAAATGGAGGCTTACCACCTTGGAAATGATATGTCTTAGAGTCCCAAATGCAAGCAAGAAGAGACCTGAAACCTCTCTAATTATACTGATTTTTATAAAACCAGACTATAAGTGATCCCAACCAATCATAATAGCATGATTGAGCAAGGACAACATTTTTAATTTGTTCAGAGGTTTAATTATAAACACAAGAATTATCTTTTTCCTTTACAGGAAAATAAGTAGGTACTGACATGAGAGCATAAATAACCGGTAGATAACACATTAAAGTGAAAAGAGTCCTAAACTTGTATCACAAGTCCTGAGTTCGAATCTTTCACTTCTTACCTGTGTGACCTTGGTTGAATCATTGACTTCTCTAGGCCTTGGTTTCCTCATCTGAAAAATAAGGGTGTTTGGTTGGATTAAATAACCTCTAAGATCTCTTCCATCTCTAGATTTATGATCCTATGACATTTTGCAAAGCTATAACTGGAAGACAAGATGTCATAGTGTTTTATCTTAAGGCAAATGTGGCATTTTAAACAAAGGTGTCTAGTGATTCCATTATCACCAGCATCATGGGTTTGGAGATTTTGAAAAAGATACAAGTGAAACTTAATGAATAGTTATCATAGCCAATTTTTAATTTCAAAATTGAAATCTGTCACTTGGTAGCTAAAATAGCCTAATCACTGTGACAAGTGATTATTGAACAATGCCTCCATTTTATAAAGATTTGCAAAAAGGGTTACTCCATTTTAAAATACAAATAGTCTGGACTGAAAATCAATTGCTTCATTGTACAGTCATTGGAAAAGAGGGAGTATTCTTGTATCTTTTCCTTTTTTTTTTTGGCATGGTAGTAGGGAAAAATTTGGTTAAATGCACTGAATAATAAGGTTTCCAGGTAACACTGTTGTGAAAAGAGTACTGGGTCAAGACTCAGAAGTTCTAGTCTCTGCTCTGTTGATAAATAGTTAGATAACCTTGGGCAAATCCCTCTCCCAATCTGATTTTCTGTTTTCTCAGCTATAAAATGAGGAGGTTTGGATTAAATGTTCTCTAAGGTTCCTCCCAGCAATAAAATCCACTGATTTCATGAACTCCATTTCCATTCACTTCACATGAATTTGTGTTCTTTGAGCCTGCTGGAATACTGCATAGGGAAAGGAGAGAGCTATCTTCAAGTGTAAAGACTAAGGGCCGTAACCTCAAGGATCTAATTAGAGAGACACACGAAACAATTAGGGAACTATACAAGACAGCATATCATTAAGCCTTTAACTATATGTACAGGCAATAAGTCCAATCATGAAAGAGATCAAGGTTGCTTGAACTTCACAAATCTGCCCCTATAGAAATCATCCAATTAAAAGGTTTACTGGAACATATGTTCAATACATAAACCAATATTAAAGCAAAATTAGATCTGTTCACTTTATTAACAGCAAAAACAAAGAACAGAGAGTAATCGCATCATCTGCGGGGTAGGGAAAGAACAAATGCTGCATTGGTGGATCTGATGATGAGCAATCAGAGTGATCCATTCTATGACTTTTGGACCATTTGAACTGAACCTGAAGCACTGTGGAAAGTTTCAGCAAAATTTCTGACTTATCAAGCAAGTCAATTCCTAAGAGAGCATTAAGCAAAATGTAAAGCCTTATGGAATAGTCTTGAATTAAAATTCAATGCCTCAAAATTGCCCTTTGGATTAAAAACCATGTAGTTTAGAGCACTATTAAAATGCACAGAAAAAAATATGCTTAGTTCCGGTGTATATCGTATGTATTAATTTTTTAAAACTGGCTTTGAGATAAATAAACATTAAAAGCTACATAACCTTTTGCAAATGACTTGGCCAATAGGAAGCTATCCTTATTTAGTAACACTTTGTCCCTTTGTCCTGAAGTTGTGTTATATAGTATTTGTGTGTTAGAGGGAAAGTTTCTAAGCAACAATTTTCTCTGCTGATTGTGTAATTCTAGTCAAATAAGAGTGTTCTCCTTTAGGAGTATGTATCTATTTCTTAGGAACCAGGTTCCTCAAGTGTGTGCTGCTCCCTTCTTGTCCCTGTTTGGGGACTGATAGGGCTTTTGACTTGGATGTTGCACAGGTGGGTGGAAAGATAAAGCTTTGGGATAATGAATAGACAGGGGCTAGATTGTTTTTCCTCCTAACCCCCAAAGCAATACAGCTTATTCTTGTTTAATCCCTTATTCTTGTCACCAAATAGAAAAATCAAACGAGTTTTCTGTTTTCATCCAACCAACCTACTGATTGATGAGATGATAACTGCAAGACTTATGACCTATAATGATACATATGATTTAAGCAATCCTATCTTCCACCAGGAGAAATATATTTTAAAATAAGAGTAGGAAGGACAATTACTTTTCACTTACCTTCTTATGCATTGCTGAGCAAAGGACTTTCTTTGCCTTCCATTGGAGCTAGTTTTCTCTCCTGGATCAGTGAACTAAATTAAATCATTCTAAATGTTGCATCTTAATGTACTTTCTACCTGACAGATAACCTCTGGTTGCCTTTCAGAGTAACAGCATTCAATTCACCATATAATCCTTGCAATATGGCTTTAGAAGCTGGATATGGTAGTTGCCATGGATTTCTCATCATCCCAGTAAAGCGGTTTCATTTCTTCAGCTCCAAATTGACAAGGAAGAAAACAGGTAATTAAATAGTGGGCCTTTTAGATGTAGAGGATCACAAATCCAAAGGCAGGTCTTTTCCAATGTTCCGCAGGCATGGGAACAGACATTGGTTGATATGGATTTTGCTGTGATATTTGATAAGAAAATGAATCTAGAGTCTTAATTGTAGAGCTTCTTCCTTCCTGCAGGTTTAAGCATGGGCAGATTAGGTTTGCATTTGAAGTAGGGCAACCCCCCAAGAGGACAGTGGGAAAGCCTATTGTTTTAGAGTCGAAGATCTCCTGGTAGAAGATGTTCCAGGTTATAAAGCTTTTTCCATGATTCCTTAGGTTATGTGTGAGTAAGTCATGTGTATCTCAGTTGGGGAAGAGGGGACAGTTAGTGGAAAAGATTTTGAAAAAGGGACCTATGTCATAATTTTATGAAGATCTAGGGTTTGCCAAGAGGTGATTTTTTTTTTAAAAATCCCTGCCAAATACCATATTCTGTAATATAGTCCTCTACAAAACTATTGCTATATCTGTGGTTAATTCTTCTTTCATATTCTAAATCAAGTGAAGTAGATAATTTGCCTTTTCTCTAGTAAATCTGGGACCCATACACCCAATATATGTATTATGTTATGGCCATGGAACTGTGTTATGAGATGGTTAATAAAGTCATTTTAGTCACCTTAACAATTGATAATATGGCCAGTTTGAATGTCTAAAGTTCCATGTTTATCATCAAAATGATACCCAACTGAATAGACCAGTAATGCATGTCAGACCACAGGACTTTGAGCTAGAAGGGATTACAGGAGTCATCTAATACAATGACATTATTTTTCATATGGAGAAAATGAGGGAGGTGGAGCCAAGATGGTGGAGTAAAAGCAGTGACTTGTGTGAGCTCTCCCCCAAACCCCTCTAAATACCTGTAAAAATGGCTCTAAGCAAATTCTAAAGCAGCAGAACCCACAAAAAGACAGAGTGAAACAAATTTCCAGCCAACGACAGCCTGGGTGGTTGATCGGAAAGGTATATCACCCAGAAGGGAGAGGAGCACAGTTCGGCGTGGGCACGCAGGCTTCGGCAACCCTGGAGCAGGCCTCAGAAGGCTAAATTGCGGGCAGCTGTGTCAGTTTCCAGACTTCTCAACCCATGAATGCCAAAGACAACTTGGAAGGTCAGTGGGAAAAGTCTGTGACTGTGGTAAGAGAAGGAGCTAAGTCTCAGCCACCCCTGGGGGCCGCGGATGTTTCCTGAGCTTCTGGCCCACAGACTGAGGGGGGAATCAAGTGACTGATCAGAGGGGGATTGCAGGGATCTCTCTCCCAGTGCTGAGGCAGGAATCTCTTGCTTTATCAGTGCTTGGATCTGGGTCACAGTTCTGAGGGGCGGTCCTGGGGTGAGGAGGAATGCTGGTGTGGTGAAGCTTGTTGTGGTGGTGGAGAGTAACACCACCCCTTATCATAGCACCTTGGAAGAACTGAAAACTTTCAGGTCCCTAGAAGTATCTCTGAAAACAGCTATACAAACCCCCAAGCTTGGGACAGTACATTCTCCACATTGGAAGCAGACTTTTACCTTAACAAAGAGTTTAAAACTCAAGTAATTGGCTGGGATCATGAGTAAGCAGTGCAAAAAGAGTCAGACTATATTATCTTACTTTGGTGACAAAGAAGATCAAAACATACCACCAGAAGAAGACAATGAAGCCAAAGCTCCTACATCCAAAGCCTCCAAGAAAAATATGAATCAGTCCCAGGCCTTGGAAGAGCTCAAAAGGGATTTTGAGAAGCAAGTAAGAGAAGTAGAGGAAAAGCTGAGAGTTTTGCAAGAAAATCATGAAAAACAAGTCAACAGCTTGCTAAAGGAGACCCAAAAAAATACTGAAGAAAATAACACCTTAACAAATAGCCCAACCCAAATGGCAAAAGAGGTCCAAAAAGCCAATGAGGGGAAGAATGCCCTAAAAAGCAAAATTGGACAAATGGAAAAGGAAATCCAAAAGCTTACTGAAGAAAATACTTCCTTAAAAATTACAATAGAGCAATTGGAAGCTTGTGACTTTATGAGAAATCAAGACACTGTAAAACAAATCCAAAAGAGTGAAAAATTAGAAAACAATGTGAAATATCTCATTGGAAAAACAACTGACCTGGAAAATAGATCCAGGAGAGAGACTTTAAAAATTATTGGACTATCTGAAAGCCATGACCAAAAAAAAGAACCTAGACATCATCTTTCAAGAAATTATCAATGAAAACTGTCCTGAAATTTTAGAACCAGAGGGCAAAATAGAAATTGAAAGAATCCACCAATCTCCTCCTGAAAGAGATCCCCAAAGGAAAACTCCTAGGAATATTGTAGCCAAATTCCAGAGTTCCCAGGTTAAGGAGAAAATATTACAAGCAGCCAGAAAGAAACAATTCAAGTATTGTGGAAACAATCAGGATAACACAAGATTTAGCTACTTCTACATTAAGGGACTGCAGGGCATGGAATATAATATTCTGGACAGCAAAGGAGATAGGATTACAACCAAGAATCCCCTACCCAGCAAAACTGAGTATAATCCTGCAGGGGGAAAAATGGTCATTCAGTGAAATAGAGGACTTTCAAGCATTCTTGATGAAAAGACAAGAGCTGAATAGAAAATTTGATTTTCAAATACAAGATTCAAGTAGAACATGAAGAGGTAAACAGGAAAGAGAAAATCAGAAGAGACTTATTATGGTTGAACTGTTTACATTCCTGCATGGAAAGATGATATTTGTAACTCATGATACCTTTGTCAGTATTAGGGTAGTTGGAGGGGAAAAAATTATGTGTGTGTATATATAGATATAGATAGATAGATAGAGGGCACAGGGTGAGTTGAAAATGAAGGTGTCATATCTGGAAAATAAAATTAAGGGGTAAGAGAGGATTTTACGAGGAGAAGGAGAAAGGGAGAGGTAGAACGGGGTAAATTATTTCACACAAAAAAAAACAGAAAAGAAAAGGCTCTTACAGTGGAGAGGAAATGGGGAAAGGTGAGAGGGAATGAGGGAATCTTATTCTCAAAGAATTTGACTTAAGGAGGGAATAACATACACACTCAATTGGGTATGGAAATCTGTCTTACCCTACAGGAAAATAGGGCATGAAGGGGACAAGAGAGTAGGGTGATGATAGAGAGGAGGGCAGATTGGGAAAGGGGGTAATCAGAAGCAAGTACTTCTGAGGAGGGTAAGGGTCAAAAGAAAGAATAGAATAAATGTGGGAGTGGGATAGGATTAAGGGAAATAGAGTTAATTTTTCACAGCATGTCTACTATGGAAGTGTTTTGCATAACTGCACATATATAACCTATATTTAGTTGCTTGCCTTATCAACGAGGGTGGGTGGGAAGGGAGGAAGGGAGAAAATTTGGAACTCTCCCCCCCAAAAAAAGGAAAAAAAAAAGAAAATGAGTCCCAAGGAGTTGTGACATGCCCTAGTGAAGTAGAAGAGCTGGGATGCAAGCTTATGTTCTCTAATTCCAAATCTGATGGGTTTTTTTTTTCCACTTATGCTTATCATGGGGCAGCTAGGTGGTGCAGTGGATAGGATGCTAGGCTTGACATCAGGAAGACATCTTTCCGAGTTCAAATCCGGCCTCAGATACTTTCTAGCTGTGTGACCCTGGGCAAGTCACTTAACCTTCTTTGCCTCAGTTTCTTTATCTGTAAAATAAGCTGGAGATGGCAATGGTAAACCACTCAAGTATCTTTGCCAAGTAAATCCCAAAAAGGAGTCATGAAGAGTTGGACATGACTGAAAAAATGACTAAACAACATGTTCACCAAAGGTGTTGAATTTAGATATTCTGGCTCTAAGACCATCCCCATACTCCCACTTTAAGTAGGATGAAAATAGTACTTTTTCTTCCTGAAAGATCATTGTGTTAGTGTTCCCTCTAAATAGCTTGTGTGGCACAAGCCTTTGACCTGTTCGTTATATTGGCTTTTCATGGTTACTGTTTCCTGTTACACTGTTTCCCTCACCATCTCTTTGATAGTACATTCTAGAGTGTAATCAAGTACCAATGTGAAATTCACAGACCTATAATTTGCATAGTCTCTTCTTAAGAAAAAAAAAAGAAGGAAACAAGCATTTATTAAACACCTACTAGATACCAATTACTGGGCTAAGCACTTTACAAATATTAAATCACTGACTCCTCATGACAATCCTGGGAGGTAGGTGCTATTACTATCACCATTTTACAGTTAAGGAAATTGAGGCAGACAAATTAAATGACTTGCTTGGGATCACATAGTTAGTAAGTGACTGAGGTTGGATTTGAACTCTTGTCTTCCCAGTTCCAGGCCCAGGACTCTATCCTAGCTGAACAGTAATCTTCCATGCCAAGGTTTCATTCTATTTCCTTAACTCATCTATTTTTTTTTCTTTCCATGTAGCCTTTGGTATGCAGTCATGAAAATATCACCTCTTTTTTCTCCCTCTGTTGATTTTTGTTTAAATAATCTTCACTATTTTTCATCTTCTGTTCCCATATTTTTACATGACTAAATCTATGTAATTAATACTATTTGTCCTCACCTCCTTATCCATTCCTTTTCCAGAGCCATTTCTAGTCAAGAATTCCATCCCACCCAATCTCACTGATATAAATGAAGTCAAATTTTACTTCTTTCTGAGTTTACCTTGCTTGTTGCCCTCTCTTTAGGCATTTTTCTCTCATGGACATCTAAGGCCATAATTATTAGTGGCTTCTTTCTTTGCTTTTGTCTCCTTTAAATTATTGGGAATCTCTATTACTATTCCTCTTCCCATAGACACCATCTCTAGGGGCACCCCTTTAGTTGGTATGCATAATTTTTTTTCTTAATCTTTATTTCCAAGTCCAGTTCTAATAATTGCCTATAATTTTGCTTTTCTTAAATCCATCTTTCAAACAGCTGAAAAATAATCTTCCTATTATATGTCTGACTATGTACGTCTCCTGCTCAGGAGCTCTCTAATTAGCTGTGGGATAAAATATACCTC